CAGGCTCAGCTTTTCCTCATTGCAATCAAATGCATCTTTCCTTCAGCACAGATGTGATCAGCCTACATGAGCATAGATTCCTCAGCCGTTGGGTAAATGTTCAAAATCACCAAGGTCATTTTGGGATGTTAACATACATTCCTAAGGCTGCTCTTGTTGCTCTTCGGCTAGGAAGTGAATAATACCCAAATGCTTCAAGCCACCCTCATCACTGTCCTGTGTGGGAGCCAGATCCACAAACAAACTTTGGCATAGCAATGCTTGGCATTGCTGCATCTTTTAGGCCCCTGCCCTGGAAATCACGGCCCTGCTTTAGGTACCCCAGTTCCCTGCACAGTGCATGGGGGCAGCTGGGCACCGCAGAATGAGATTCATCAGAGGCAGCAATTTACTGGAGGAAGAAGAGCAGGGAAATTCCTAAGCCAGTCAATAAGAGGAGTATGTCTGAAAGCCCACCCCTCTCTGGGATTTTTAGGTACCTTCCTGCAGTACTGGGTTGGATGCCCACATAAGACCAAGGTCCATTGACCAAATTCCCCTCCAATACTTAGGCACTTACAAGCAGGGGCAAGGCTGGTGCTCCCCATCTTTCATACAACAAGCTAGTGAGTGGAGCACTCACCCGGGGTATGACCTCCCAGGAGGGTGCCCCAACCACCAGACTAGGGGGGGTCAAGTCTGGGGTAGAGGCCCAGTCCACTCTTTCTGAAGCTGTACTGCTGAGCAGGAAAAAACATAAGTTTCATGGGCACGCACAGAGAGAAAGAAAGAGAGTGCAATGCTGAGCATGGCTCTAGCCCAAGGATGAAAAGGGCGGCTTGGAGTCCAATCCCACAGGACTGTTTATATATTTTATCCATTGCCCATTGTCTGGTAAATAGAGAAGCAGGCACATGAGGAGGAGCCATGAAACTAGAGCCAGGGGGACCTAAGTCCTACTTGAGGTGCCTGAGTTCTCCCTTGCATCAAGACTTGAGCATCTTCCAGTCGTGAGTTAGGCAACATGATCACCCTGTTGCCCTGTGTTTGTTTGCTCAGCCTCTCCTTGCAGGAGAAGCGTGTGGCATGGAGCATCTTGTAGGTAGGTAGTGCTTTAGGGTGTTATCAAAACATACAGACAGCTACCTCATCACCGAGCGCGCGGGAGAGACATCCAAAAGGCATTTCTCCAGAAAGAGGATGCAGCAATGCAGGCCTTTGAAAAAGGACGAATGCAAGCAACAAGGAGGAGTTCTCATGGCCCTGCAAGCCACATGCAGGAAAAGCTGAGGAGTAAAAGAAGAGACAAACTAAGAAAGCAGCAGAGTGTAAGAAAGTAGAGAAGTAGAGAAGCCTGGTCCTAACGGGGATAGTTGCAGGGACCAGGAGGTCTTATTCAAAAATCCTGCCAAAAAGCAGCACGGCATCACTAATCAATCCCAGGGAACTTCCAAATCAGCTGATTTATACTTGTCCATCTGGGAGCGCTTCGGTGGAAAGTGGCCACTGCCAGTTATTACAATTCAGTCTTGGAAGAGGCATGTAGAGCAAGGGGCAGGCTTCTATCTGCCATACCAGGCTTTACAAGCTCTGTTTGCTCTTCTTGCCATTATGTGTGGTTTTACCCATGACTGTTGTAGGGCCTTGGACTGTAAGTCCCTGATGAAGCAAAACCGTGCTTCTCTAAAGTATGACATACAAAGATTTCTCACACTATGTAGGAGCTGTCACGCAAAGGGATCTCTCTGCTGATGAATGCTGTTATTTGGATATCTGGTCTATCTTGCATGCTCAATAGGAGAAGGATTTTCTAGCACTATGTTAAATAAATAACTGACCAAACTAGCCTGCTTTTTTAGGCAGGATAGGTGCTTAGCTAAGCTTTTTATTACTAATTGGCTGTTTTGTAAACGGTCTACTAAGGGCTTTTTTCCTCCCTCTCAACTAAATTATATGAATTGCGCATATCTTGTATTTTCCTGTTTTCTCGCTTAAGAAAGCCAGTGAGTTATCAGTAAGAATTATTTATATGCCTGGCTTTGTGGTATTTCTGGGATATTTTTCCTTTCAAGATAAGCACAAGTGAATGAGATGAAGCAATAGGAGTAGAAGTTGTAAACAAGTTTGCCATGAAAAGGATTTTGCTGACCTTGCTGCATTTTGAATAGCTTCAGTGTGGATAATATAGGCCTGATGTCATTGACTGCTTGTAGTCTTTGATAGTCCTAAATAATAAATTAGCTGGTATGTGCTGGAGTGGTCTTCTGAGATATTATTAGTACATTAATTAATTGTTAGCTTGTCTATCCCATGATGGTAGCTCTGTGTTATCCACAATTACATTTCACCAGACTGCCACAGGCTCTTCTTGGGAATGAGGGTGAGAAGGTTGACCGTATTTATGTTTCATTACAGAAACTTGTGTCAGTAGATGACAAAGTTGACTATTAGGGGAACATTTAAAATGTGTCACAGACATTTCTCGGTCATACTTTGTATTGGGGATTCATTTACAAACCATTAGTAAAAGACCAGTTGATGTTATAACAGTGTGACAGAAAGGGGTTGGATGTGTTATAGATGGGTCTCGGTACATCAGTGGTACAGGTGGTCCTCAGCAGCCTGTGACAGCTTGGACTCTACAGCAGCCTATAGCAATTGCTTAGCCAGTCATTAAAGGATCAACTGATCATTGATTCATTCTTTCTAACCATACAAAAATTGAATCTTACTGTGAACAATAACTAGGTTGACCATGTAGGCCAGGGACAGAAGTTACACATAAACTGGCTTAAGTGATCGGAAACTGGGTTAAACCTGTAACAGAACAGAAGTTCAGCACGCACATGCTACTTTCAAAATGGCCCAAACTGGCTTAAGATAAACCTGGTTGGGTGTAGTATCAGACTTAACTGATTTAGGTCAAACCAGTTTATAGAACTCTGTCCCAGACTCCTTTCTGGTTCAAGTTAACTCACAGTCCCCCAGCATCCCAGCATGCTTTGCAGCCCTGGGCTATGCTGTCTGCTCTAGTGGAGTAGGGACTGCCTTGCCCTTCTCCTCCCTAGCCTGCTTGCTGCCTGAGTCCATCAGCCCAGTGGGATGGAGGGGGGTGGGCACAGACCCCCCTCTCCAGGGTCTACACAGCCTATGGGGAGAGGGAAAACCCCCGTTGTGCAGGCTTTTTGACCCTCAGCAGCCCTCCCCTCTTCCCCCTTCCCAGCTCCTGATTGCTCCAGCTTCTCCCCCAGGAGAGAGGAAGAAGAAGTCCTCCTGGTTGGGTGCCTCCCATGCAGCCCAGCATGGGTGCACCGTGGAGCCCCTGCCTTGTAGGGCTTCCCATCACCCCAGCCCAGGGTCCCCCAGCCCCAGGCAGCCCCAGGGAGCGGAGGGGAGTTCTGCCTCTCCCAAACCCCACAGCTGCTTGCCTTATCCCCTGCTAGTCTCAGGGGCAGACCTGGGCAGCCCCAGGGAGTGGAGGGAAAAGGGACATCCTCCTGCTCCTCTGCAGCCAGTTTTGCCTGAGCTGCTGTGAGTCTGAGGCAAAACTTTTTGCAGAGGAGCAGAAGAATTTCCCTCCGCTCCCTGGGGCTACCCCTGGGCCTTGCAGCAAATAAGGCAAGCAGGTCTGGGGTGCGGGAGGGGAAGATTGCCCTCAGCTCCCTGGGGCTGCCCGGGGCTGGGGGAATCTGGGCTGGGGTGGGGAGCAGCCCCCTAAGGCAGGGGCTCCCCGGTGCCTCCATGCTGGGCTGCATGGGCGGGCACCCAGCTGGGAGGACTCCTTCTCCCTCCCTCCGGGGGCAGCAGCTGGGAAGGGGGAGAGGGAGTTCCTGTTGCTCCCCAGGGCTGCCTGGGCTGGGGGACCAGGAAGGGAGCATCTAAACCCCCTGTTGCAGGGGGGAAAGAGAGTGGGGTTGGGGGGCATGTACTGGGGAGACTTGGCTGGGCTGGGAGACATGCTCTAATGTCCAGCACCTACTGGCTTGGGTCAGTGCAGGCTTCCCCCTGCCTTTCCCAACTGAAAACTGGTTATCAGTTCAACCTATGCAGTTTAGAGGATGCTGCCTAGACTGAATCGATTCAGCCTCAGGCTTTTTGACTGTCTGTACTTAGCTATGATGGAAATCCTGGAAATCTGGGACACCGTCTGGGAAATCCAGGACGCTACAACCCTCCCCACCCAGGCGCTCTCACAAGTTGGCAGGGGCAGAGCTGCGTGCCTGCAAGGTGCTCTGCACCGCTCCCAATCCCGATCAGACTGCATGCCATGCCCCTGCTTTTCCAGGACATCCGTTATAATGCTCAACAGCCAGCTGGTGCCAGCTTCTGAAACCTGGGACTGTCCCTGCTAAACTGGGACATATGGTCACCCTACCTACAACCCATTTCTCTGTTGACTTCAGCATCTCTCCCTCGTCCCCACTCACTTTGTAATACGTTATTTTCATGTTGGCATTGCCAGGAGGGTGGAAAATACTCTAGGAATGGGAAAACACATCCCCTTTCCCAAAGGACCAAGCCCATTTCAACTAATGTTGATTCAGACTGAATCAAGGGAACTTTAGAAGTTCATCCTTCAGCTGTTAACATTAAAAAAGAATCATATTTTCAAAGTGCCCCTTTTATCAGAAAAAAAATATCCGGGAAAAGCCAATAACAACTCCTGGAGCACTGTTTTCCTTAGGATTGGAATAGATGGCACAAGAGAGGGACTCTCTGTTATCACACGCTGGAAAACCAGACACCACCCAAACACCGTCTTAGTGAGACAATGACATTTCTTTGGAGAGAGTTCGCTTTTCCTATGTAGCTATTCAATGATATAGAAATGTTCCAGTCTGGGGTCCAGGGGTCCAACCCCTGCTGCTAAAATGTTGCCCCCCTCTACTGACCCCAGAGTTGAAGAGAAACAGTGATGGTATCAATAACTGTCACATACTCTGAAGTGTCAAACCACTTCCTACCTACTACAGCAAAACTCTGTCTCGCAGAGCCTTAAGCATGATTTCCTGGATGAAAGTTAGTAATACCTGAACAGAGAGCAGCTTTATTCTCTCAGGCAGATCTAGCCAGCAAAACAATGATTTGCTGACCAGAGAGAAATGTCCTAGCTGAACCTTCAAAACACCTTCTTATTATGCGCTAATAAAGGGAGACATCACTGATTCACCCGGCAAAAAGCCTGTTACTCTTTAAAAACCCTCCTCACCCTCGGTGCTACGGAGAAAAGACTTGAACAAGTTACATGGAGCGTGCTTTCCTTTTGATGTGGGTCATAATCGGTTCCATAGCGGGGACTGGAAGTGGAGCAGGTAAGAGACCATTGCTACTTTTGCTATTGCTTGGTCGGTCACGGGTGACTGATAGTCTCGCCACCTGATGATAGGGAAAAAGCAAATCATTCACGAACCTGCTGTTCTAAGGAGGTGAATAGAAAGAGCAGGGGTGCCCACAAACCAACAGCTGGAGACGGTCCAGAGCAGGTGAAATCTTTTGAGTAATGTACAGCTCCTCTAACCCATCGCTGGAACAGTAGGCAGATCAAAGGAATACTTGGCACACATCTAGCTTTAAAAGCTCTTAGGAAATTTTTTTCCATTTTACACGAGACTTTAGGAAAGCTAAACATAGAAATCGAAATGCCAATATCTCTGCAAGAGCATTTGATGGACCTGTTACTAGTGAAATGGTATAATCCAGGTTTGCTACAGATGCCATTAATACAACATGCGCTCCTTCACGCCAGCATTCCTACCCATTCACTGTGGGATGAAACTTTCAGCCGCTGATGTAAGCTTACAGTGGGATTTCTAACGAGGGCAGGTGCATTAAGAAATTGGCTGAATGTGAGGAATAGGTCGGAAATATAATCCTATGTTCCAGTCTGAACTGGTTTGAATGCAAAAGTGCCTGTTCAATGCATGCGATATTTCCTTCCAGGGGTCTGAAGGACTCCAGAAGCCAGAGGTAGGAGAGAAGAAGGTCATATAGGCTAGGACCTAGGGAAGCAATCTTGGATGAAATGGAGACATGGCTAAATGATTGTGAAATTGTACTGGGACCACTGTGAGAGCATGGGATCACTTGCAATGAAGCTAACTGCTTTCCTAGTCAGCTCAGACAAAACCTCTCCCTCTCCAGGTGACTGTACCCCCATAAAGAGACTTGGGTTTTATTAAAAGAGACATCTTAATAGCAAAATGCAGTGCTACTGCTCCTGGCCTCTTTTTAAATGCTGTTTGAGACACCATCAGTGTGAAATGTTCAGCAGGGGATATGTAAATGGGATGAGTTATGGAATGAGTCAAGTCCCGCATATAGCATTTTCTGTTTTACTGTGCCCTGGGACACAATTGCACAAGCTCTTGCTGACAGCATGGCATTTATCAGAAACATTTCTTAGATGGGTGGAAAAACTGAGGGGTGTCTAATAGTTGCACTTGGTACTGAATTCTGCAGTTGGATACTGCAATGAAGCTAAATATATGCCTAATTAACTTTCATTGATTTTTCCACGCACATCTCCGCTGAGGGGCTACCCCTCTTTTCTGCTTCTTGTACTTCTGATGAATTCCTAATTCACAGGCTTACAACATTTGTAACTTATTTGTGTGGTTCTCTTTATTTTCATCTGCTCTGGAATCTGAAATCTTGTTTTTTTACCAAAATATATATCCCTTTGGGTTTCTTATTGTAGGGTTTTGCCTGTGAGGGCTATCACTGCTGGCTTTGTTGATTTTTTTTTTCCAGTGGGGAACATGTAATGGATAGCAAGGAGTCCTGCGATGAGATATAGCGATGTGAAAGGGGACGGTCAAATTCTGGGCCAAAATTGAAAACATCTCTACAGTGCTGTAGCAAGTTTGGGTGGGGGGTGAGTGGGGCAACTGCCCTGGGTGCCAAAGCAAAGGGGTGCCA